CATTCATAACCTATCAAATGACCAAAAACCATCCACCTGCCTCTTCGGAATGTGGGCATCATGTTCTTAAAATTACTTCCTGCTTTTTGGGGGTGTCAGTATCTTTAGGGAACCCTGTGAAAATTAGGATAATGGTCAAGTCTTGGGAGTGGTAGCCATAACATATGTTGTCCAGTCTCTGTGCAATGGGAACGCAAAAAAGCTTACCTGTAGTCCTGGCTAGAATAGTCTTTGGGGCTGGACTACCTCAGCCAGCAGCTTTGAAGCTGTTATGGATGCAGAACTCTGAGGAAACTGCAACAGAGGCACTCTGAGAGGCTGGATCACCTGGGCCACCTGTTTTCAATGATGTCTGGTCCCCTTGCTCTGAAAACACACAAACTTTCAAAGGTAGCATACATGTCAGCATTAACACAAGTATGGACTCTGCATTGTACATAAGCCAGCCAAAGATGTTTTTTTTTGTTTAATGTTTGAGCAAGTAAAATATATGTCACCTATCTTGTAGTTTTCCTAGGTTTATAATTTTATGTCTGTAGACAAGAATTTCATGGGATCTCCCTCAATCAAACCTGATCTTTATCAACTTTGAATGAATCCACAGACTTTTGTTTTCTGTGGAAAAAAAACATAACTTCTTACCCAAAGCAATATATTTTCTGACTTCCATTTTAAAGTTAAGGCATTCATAAAGTATATAGTCTCGTTTAACTTAGCAGTCTCTTCCACAAGTCAGTGTCCCTCAGTAGCTGTTGGTCTCTGTTCATTAGCAATCAAAAAATTCAGAATTAACAAAGCACCATAGAAGAACCAACCTCATACCTTTCATAGTTGAGTAAAATAGTGTTTTGAGGCAATTTGTATAAAAGGTGGTTTAGGATTGAAATTAGGATTCCCAAAAAGTTCCAACAGTTTACAAAAGGACTGATTCCAATAAAAGATCAATTGCTGTCATAAGGGTTATATGCTACATGCACAAACCAGATCACCTCATTCTGAGAGTAAATAGGGTCAAATCCTGTACCTTAACTGTCCTCATATCCAAGCCCCGTGACCCATCCACAATAGGTCAATTAAACAAACATGCACTAATGAAAAGCAGAGAACACAGGTTAATTCAATATGGTCACATTGGAAAAAGGAACAAATAAAGGGGTCCTGTGGTGACTCTGACCTGAAGTGTATGTTTAACTATAGGGCAAGAGGTATTCAGTGTTAAGTAGTTCCATGTTTGCATGAATATGTACATCCAATACATGAATGTATGTAATTTAAAAAAAACTATCTAAACCACTCAGCCATCTAACCAGCCCCTACTATACTTTTAAATTAGCTTGCAGTGTAGTGGCATCAAAAAAAGGGGTGTTTATAATCTTTAGTTTTTTTATTAACCAAACCCCTCACCTTCTTCTCACTCTTATACCATTATTCCAATCCCTGATTAAATCTTTAACCTCTGGTGTAGCTCACCCTCCTCCGTAGACAGCAGATGTGTTCTATCCTAACCCTTGCTCCTTAAGGCCTCTGGCCCTCACACTCTCATGGGCTGATTCTTTTAGTCTAATAATATTGATAGATAAATGGAAATATAACACATTCCACTTATAATCAGAAATTGACAAATTGTATTAAAAACTAAGACAGCATATAGACTATATTAAAAACTACCTCAAAATGAAAGATACACATAAATTTAAAAGAATAGAGAAATAGGCATCCCATGCCAACACTGGCCTGAAGAAAGTGGTTCATATGAACATTAAAATTGTGTCTCAAAGTGGGCAATAGTTCATGGAGTTCTGCCCCTACTACAGACAACTAATGAATGCTGGGAGGAGGAGAATTAGCTCTCCCAGAGACGAATCCCCATATGGTTGTACAGTGCAGAGTGGTCAGCCCCGACACCATATACACAAACAACAAAAACAGAGTCAACAGGTGATTTTGTGTGTGTGTGTGTGTGTGTGTGTGTGTGTGTGTGTGTGTGTGTGTGTGTGTGTGTACATGCACACACACACATGCACAGAGAGAGAGAGAGAGAGAGAGAGAGAGAGAAAGAGAGAGAGAGAGAGAGATATCATACACAAACCTGTAGCAATAATATTCACAAATATTCAAGGAAAAAGAGTCTATCAACTTGAGGAGGAACATGCGAAGAGTTGGAGGAAGGGTAGCCGGGAGGGGTTGAAGGGAGGAAGGGAAGGGGAAAGTGATATAATTCTATTTCAATTAAAAATAATTTTAAATGGATGAATAAATTATTCAAAGGGAAAACTAACCAATAAGACAATATTCCTAAATGTTTGAAGCCGTAACAATATTTAAAAATGCACAAATCTAAGCCAATGGAAATGTGAATAGGTAGATTAATAATAGTTACACATTTAAAAAGTCATTCCTTAGTAATTGCTAAAATAAGTCACCAAAATGCTGATGGATTATGGGCTAGACTGAGAGAGCTCAGTAGTTAAGAGCATTTACCATCCTTTCAAAGGACCTGGTTTGGTTCCCAACACCCACACCAGGGGATTGACAACCGCCTATAACTACAGATCAAGGTGATTCAAGTGCTTCTTCAGGCCTCAAAAGGCACCTGACTGTGCCTAGTGCAAATAGAAACAAGTGGGATTACACATACACATAAATAAAAAATAAATAAATAAACAATATTACTAGATGAGCATGAAAGTAAATTCCAATATATAAAACCTTAGTAAGATACAACAAAGAAATTATAAAAATTAAAATATCTTCTCCATCATTTTTTATTAGAAATCAATATGATGATTTAAAAATCTCTATGGCAATCCAAAGATCCTACAATTTTCAAAATAACAATATAGAGCAAAATTAGGAGACATATTGTCTGGTTTTAAAAGTTCTAAAACTCTTTAGTATCAAGAAAAAAGATAACATGCTATCAGATAAAGAAAAATATAGGACTCTGCTATAGGACTACATGCATGTGGACACTTGTCTTTATTACAAGAAGAAAGGAGAAATTTCAAACAAATTATCATAGAATAATTGGGCAGTTATAGACAAAAATTAAATAAAACATCATTGTCCCCCCAAATGATATGAATATGAACCCAAATTATGAGAAAACAAATATAAAACACCAAAGTGAAAAATTGTAGAAGTAATATTTATATTATCTAATAATTTTGACTTTGAAAAATAATTCTGACATATTATATAAAAAGTCATTGTCTGAGTCCATCTAGAATGCTGGAGAAAAAAAGAAAGGAAAATCTACAGACTATGCACCTTCAGAACAAGAAAAAAATTTTTTTGAGAATATAACTATTTCTTCTCTTACAATTATGATTCTTATAATTCCCTCTTCATTTTCTTCCCTCCAAACCTTCCCATATACCCCCCTTGCTTCTTTTAATATTCAAGGCCTCTTTTTCATTATCTGTTGCTACATACGTGGATATGGATATATATAGAGAGATTCCTGAATACATAAATCTAACCTGGTCGGGCTGTATAATGTCATTTGTATGTGCGTTTTCAGGCCTGATCATTTGATATTGGGAAACTGATGTGCTCTCTTCCCTGTGGAAGACTATTTCTTCTATTCTCAACATCCTTTAGTTGCCTTCTTGGCACTCTCCCCAAAACCCCTGAGTCCACATTAACATGTCAGTTGTTGTTTTCCTTGTTCTGCACATGTTTAGGCAGTCATGTTGGTGAGTCTTACAATTGTAGCTTCTGCCATTCCCAGGAGACAATCTCACAGCAAGCCCCCTCATCTACTGGCTCTTACAATCTTGTACCCTCCCTGTCCCACAAGTTCCTTGTGGGGCTTGATTTGTAGGTGTATCTGTTGGAACTGGACTCCATAACTCAGTTTTCTTGGTGGTGGTTTTCTGTAACTATCTCTGTCTTGAACAAGAGAACTTTCCCCCACACATCTGAAGGCTGGGAAGTACAACATGAAGTTTCCAGAAGATTCAGTGGACTGGTGAGGGCATTACCTGGTTCATACATGATCTTTGCTGTGTAGCAACACATAGGAGAAGAAAAAAGTAGTTCTGTGTCTGTATCTTTAATTAGGGCATGAAACTCATTTGTAAGGGCTTGACATTGAGAAAAAATGTACATAGAAGGGAAGACATTGTTGAACACCTGAAAAGCTAATGACTAGTGGAAATATTCATAACATCCATTATTGACAAAGAGCTTAAATGAGAATATGTGAAGTATTTCCTCATCTCCAGTAATCTCTGGGGAGGGGGATAGTAATACACAGGTGCTATGAAGGAAAAATGGAAGCGGACATTTATTGGGATTGCAGAAAGGAGAACAATACTGGGGTGGGGTGAGAATAAAATAAGCCAGTCCTCCCTTGTGTTATTTTTTGAGATATTCTCAGTAAGTAGAACAATCTGTTCTTAAATTCATAAAAATCTCCTTGCCCCAGCCTTTCTATGCTGGGGTTTAAGGTATATACCACCATGCCTAGGATCCTTCCTGTTGTTCTACTCAGACAGCAAAACTGCCTTACACAACCCTGAAGTTGTATGAATAAGATGCAGTGAGATGATGGAGCTATTCTTTGGGGCCAGCCTGGTAGAAAAGGTACCAATGACTTGGTCATCAAGGGCAGGTGTCAGCTCTGCCACCTTCACTGTGGAAGAACCAGCACCTAACTACAGTGCTCATCAGTCTGGACACATTTTTTTTGGAAAAGGTTGGAATGAGGAGAGGAGGAGGAAGAGTGTGAAACATGTCAGTTGGTGCTGGAGGGATAGAATGAAGGAAAGAAATCTGGATCTACAAAAGGAGAAGATCACTGGCGGTGATGGGAAGCAGAGAGCATCTCTCTATGCACAGTTGAGCTATCTAACTATCCACGTCAGATGCTGAGTACAAGCATGAGTCAGGGCTCGGGCAGTGCTGGAAATGAATGGTGCAGTGCTGTGAGGGCACAGGGGGACAAGGAAGGACTAAGGGCTCTCCTTAGAATAGGCCAAGAAAAGGCCAGACCTCTAAAATTTATTACAGAATGATTTGTCCTGGCAACATTTCATTTCCAGAGTCATCTTCCCCAAAAAGAAGGTTTGATTCAGGCACATGTGAGAACATTCCTGGAACCCATACAGGATCCTGCCACCTAGAGAAGAAGTAGGGCAAGAGGCAAAACGTAAGTGTTTGTAGAACCAGTGATTCAGTAAATGAGGAGAGTCAGGCTCCCAGGTGGAAGGTTCATCACTAACCTGGACCATCATCCCTCAAGCCCCCATCTAGTTCACAAACAGAACTCCAATCTCAACATGGCTAAATGGAGTTTTAGGGTACAAATCTTGTCTTCCTGAGAATGTTCACCCAGAAGTCCCCTGAAAACTATCCAGAGAGTCCCAAAAAAGCACATTTTTCTCTTAATAGATTTGATCCTCTCAGTAAGAGCCAGAAACAGTCAGTACAGGGTCACATAGGGGGGATATTTCTTACTTTAACAGGAAAATGCACCCTCCCATAGCCTCTACTTCTATTCAAGGGCTCTAGAGGGGTATGTAGTCCTCAAGGGAAAGCAGAATCCATCATCCCGAGGCTTCCTGCCCTACATACCTGAAGAAGCTGTCCAAAGGGCACACATTTGGTTATTGTTGGTCTCACAAGAACCTTGCTGGTACAAACATATGCGCTCAGTATTGAACACAGTGCACTGGGAACATGTCAGAGCTGAAAAGAAAAAAGCAAATGTAAGAGGCTCCTTCAGGGCCCAGAGTCAGACATCAGACCACAGTTGCACCTGTGGTAATGATAAATGAATAAAAGCAATGACTGGAGAGGGTCCATGCTGCATGGACCCAATGCATGGACCCTTCATGCAGCATGGAGGGTCCAATGCTGCATGAAGAGTGAGAAGGAAGGGCAGTTCTGAAGAAGAGATTTGAGTTCACCATAATGGAACAGCTCTTCCCAGCATCTCATTGCCTTTATGCCATCAACAGTAGTGAGCTGGTGGGAATGGGAATGTTTGAATATGAAAGCTAACAGAGGAGGAGGAAAAAATACAAGGAACTTGGTGAAGGGCACTAGAACCAGGAGAAGAAAGTGGACTACAGCACAAGCATCCTTGGGTGGATGTGGACTGTGGGGATTAGTGATGTAAAGCTCAATTCTTTAGTTTCACTGCCTCTCATCTCCCCAAAGCACAAAAACCTGTAGCAATCAGAATGTCTGATCATAGGTACCAGCCCTACCAGCTTCCAGGCTCTCACCTTGCAGGAATCCCACCAGCAAGGAAACACCCAACAGGGGATGGTTTTCCATTGCAGTGAGATCTAGGACAAGAGAGTAGTACAGAGCAGGCAGGAACCAGCCTCAACAAGGCCCATTCAGATGCAAGTCTGAGAGACCAATGGGATTCCAGACCGTGGACTTAGCATATATCCTGGGGAAAGCCCATATCCCAAGTGTCTGCCACCCTTGCCTTCCTTACCCAGTTAAACAAATACTCCCAAAATCTTCACAAGTTTTTACTAACTTTCCAATGGGAATTCATGACCCAATGTCAGCCACACTATAGCCCTATCAGGCAAATCGTGATAAATTAAGGATGTGTACCCTGAGCTAGAAACACAGACAGAGATCAGATAACACATATATTCAACTGACCTGATAAAGGACAATAAAAGAATAATAAAAAGTTTATGGTTATTATTCTACTGGGAAAATGAAAAAACAATAGCAAGGAAGTAATTTTATTTTTTAAACACCTTTTACTTGTTCTTTGATAATTTTGTATGTGCATACAATGTATCTTGATGTAACCCACACCCAAATCTTCCTTCCCATTCTCCCTGAAGTCCCCTCTCCAACTTAGGTTGCCACAAATGATCAAAAATGTGAATTAAAAGAAAACACTGCATATAAAAATATGAAAGACACAGCAAAGCATAGGTCACAGTAAATGTATATTAGCCAAAATGAAAAATGTATCAACTGTTTTTCTTAGATTTCAATAACCTGAACTGAAAACCTCTAATAATACAAAGAACCTAAAATTTCCAAAAATTACTTTAAGAAGGAATAAAGTGACAAATAGATCAAACTAGAAGCAATGATCCTGAGTGAGGTAACCCAATCTCAAAACAACAAACATTGTATGTACTCACTCATATATGGGTGGGTATTAGACATAGAGCAAAGGATTACCAGCCTACAATCCACACCTCCAGAGGAGCTAGGAAACAAGGAGGACCCTAAGAGAGATATACATGGTCCCCTGGAGAAGGGGAAAGAGACAAGATCTCCTGAGGAAATTGGGAGCACAGGGGGGAGAGGAGAGGGAGTTAGGAGAAAGAGAAGGGGACAAGATGAGGTGAGAGGAACACATGAGGAGCCAGGAAGATTGAGTCAGGGGAAGAATAGAGGAGAGCAAGAAAAGAGACACCTTAATAGAGGGAGCCAGTATAGGTTTAAGAGAAATCTGGCACTAGGGAAGTGTCCAGAGATATACAAGGATGACCCCAACAAAGATTCTAAGCAATAGTGGAGAGGCTATCTTAAATACCCTTTCTTTATAATGAGATTATGACTACCTTATATGCCATCTTAGAGCCTTCATCAAGTAGCTGGTAGAAGCAGAAGCAGACACCCACAGCTAAGCACTGAGCCAAATTCCTGGAATCCAGTTGTAGAGAGGGAGGAGTGATGAGCAAAGGAGTCAAGACCAGGCTGGAGAAACCAACAGAAACAGCTGACCTGAACAAGGGGGAGCTCATGAACCCCAGACTGACAGCTGGGAAACCAGCATAGAATCGAGCCAGGTAGTCAATGGACAATTCTGAAATAGACCTAATTTAATGTGACTACTAGATAATTATAATAGCAACAAAATAATTCCAAATTAAGAATAGTGTTTCCAAACAAACAAACAAACAAACAAACAAACAAAAAGAATAGTGTTTCAACAGCTGACCTGGACAAGGGGGAACCCAGAATGATGTCTTGGAGGCCAGCATGGGACTGATCCAAACCCATGAATGTGGATGTCAGTGAGGAGGCCTCGGTACTCCATGGGGCCTCTGGTAGTAGATCAGTGTTTATCCCTAGCATAGAAAAGGACTTTTGGAGCCCGTCCCACGTGGAGGGATGCTCTCTCAGCCTGGACACATGGGGGAGGGCCTAAGCCCTGCCCAGGATGATGACAGATTTTGGGGATCTCCCACGGAAGGCCTTACCCTCCCTGGGAGCAGAGGGGTAATGGGGTGGGGGATTGGTAGGAGGTGGGGAAGAAGAGGAGAGAGAAAAGGGCAGGTATTGACATGTGAAGCAGGCTTGTTTCTAATTTGAACTAGTAAAAAATATTTTCTTGGGAAAATGGTGTTTCAAAAAAAGTTAAATAGAAAAAATGCTAAGCATTCATAGGCAAAAGAGAAATAAACAAAAGATCAATAACTCACACTTTAAACCACACAGAGAAATTCACTCATGTGTTTCAAAGATAATTATAACCTGAAAATGAAATGTTTTGAGGCATTTAAGAATATTGATATTCTTAATAACTGAATTCAGCAAGTGAATCAGATATTATGCACAAAGTCATTACATTATTCCATCCTCTGGAAAAGGGCCTGGAAGTTTCCTATGTAGTTAGTCAGACATGTGTTGGACATGCAACAATACCTTCCAAGAGAATTGGAAACATGTGCCCCAGGCAGAACTGTAGCTGCTCTGTAACGTTGGATGGAGGATGAAGTGTGTGTTAATAAACCAGTTCATGTACACCAAACAGCATAGCTGAGCCTAGCTTGATGAGCCTGAACTATATCCACCTACAAGTGGGGAAATCACAGACACAAAAGCCATCTGTTGTACAGTACCATGAGATAGATAGCACAGCTGACTGGGAGCAGGGATCACCATACCCACTCCCCATCCTAAAAGAGTCTCCTGGCACTTATCAAAGGGTGTTTCCAGAAAGACTTAACTGAGGAGATCCACTCAGATGCTGATCAACCATTCCATGGCCTGGAGTCTTGGACTAAATAATAAAAAAGAGTAAAAGATGCCCACTGAGCATTCATTTCTCCCTGCTACCGGATTGCAGGTATAGTATGAGCAGCTTCTTCACACTCCTGTCACCATGCCTTCCCTGTTTGGTGGAGTGTTTCCCTAGAACTATAATCCCAAATAAACCCTTCCTTCCTTCCTTAAGTTACATTTGTCAAGTATTTGATTGTGGCAATGAGAGAAGTAACTAACACAGGCTCCTACTAAATGTGAATCAGATTAGCACAACAGGAAGAAAACAAATCAAATTACACCATTGTTACATTCTGAAACATCTTATATACAGAAATCTTCATTGAAGTACTTTCACATTTTAGAACATTTAAAGCCACCTAACCTGGTTAATGTTTTGTCGATTGCATACACGCTAGAGTTATCTGAGAAGAGAGAATCTTAATTTGAAAACATCCACACCATATTGGTGGGGGTGGGGATATTTTCTTGATTAATGGTTGATGTGAGAAGTCCCAGGCAACCATGGTCCCTGGCAAACCTGGGTTGGTGGCTCCATGGGTATAAGAAAGCAAATGATGAAAACTGCGGGGACCAAGCACCGGGAAGCAGTGATCTCCCATGGCTTCTGCTTCAGTTCCTGTCTCCAGACTCCTGCCCTTCTTCAGTTCCTGATCTGACTTCCTCAGTGGTGGACTGTAACCTGGAAGTGTAGGATGCTTGTTGCCATGGTGTTTCACCACAGCAATAGAAACCTTAGCTAAGACACCACCCAAACACCCATCAAATAGTAAATGCTTCAATTGAGTTCTAATCATAGAGTACTATCCAGCTGTAAAAAAGAATCCACATAGATACAGCAACACATATAAATCTAAATAGAACTGGCCTAAGTGAAATACAAAATACAAAATAGATGCAAAATATCATCAATTATATGGGAAACTTAGCTCAATAAGAGACGGCTTGCCTGTCATTAGCAGTTCCTGTAAGTGACTCCCATACTACCACATATACACAAGCAAGCAAAGCCCTTTCAGCTGGCTTTGGAACTTAGTTCTGCGGTAGAGTACTTGCCCAGAAAGTACAGGGCTGTGTGTTTACACCCTAGATCCAAAAAGAAGAAGGAAGAAAGAAAGAAAGAAAGAAAGAAAGAAAGAAAGAAAGAAAGAAAGAAGGGGAGCATAGAAAAGAAGAGAAATTAAAAAGAAACAAGGAGGAGGCATTTATTGTATAAATCCAAGGAAATAGCAAAATGGGAAAAGGTAGTATTTATTAGGGGCTGACATGAGAGCATAGTTGCATAACAGCAAAGAAACAAAGGCTTTCTGAAACTGATGTGAATATTCAGAAACTTAAGAGTGGTGATTGCTCTGCCCTCCAGCTTCCACCTGAGCCTAAGGGGAGTCTGGGCACTGCTCGGCCCCCAACCACCCCATCATCCCCTGCTCAATTCAGCCTGAGGCGCTCCCTGGACAAAAGTGGATCTGCCCAAACCGGGAAGGCCCACCCTGAGTCCAGACACACTTCACCTTTGTCTGCCCTCTGCCCTCTGGCTGCCGCCTTAGCGGTAGGGAGGGAGAGAACCCACCTGCACCCACTGGAAGAAGGGATGGGAAGACAACAGAATATGAACACACTAACAACATAAAGACCAATATGACACCACCAGAATCTAGGGACTCCACACCAGCAAGAACTGAGAAGCC